TGTTCTGATGTGTCTGAAAGGTGTTCTGATGTGTCTGAAAGGTGTTCTGATGTGTCTGAAAGGTGTTCTGATGTGTCTGAAAGGTGTTCTGATGTGTCTGAAAGGTGTTCTGATGTGTCTGAAAGATGTTCTGACAGGTCTGAAAGATGTTCTGACAGGTCTGAAAGATGTTCTGACAGGTCTGAAAGATGTTCTGATAGGTCTGAAAGGTGTTCTGATAGGTCTGAAAGGTGTTCTGATGTGTCTGAAAGGTGTTCTGATGTGTCTGATGTGTCTGAAAGGTGTTCTGACAGGTCTGAAAGATGTTCTGACAGGTCTGAAAGATTTTCTGACAAGTCTGAAAGATGTTCTGACAGGTCTGAAAGATGTTCTGATAGGTCTGAAAGATGTTCTGATGTGTCTGAAAGATGTTCTGATGTGTCTGAAAGATGTTCTGATGTGTCTGAAAGATGTTCTGATGTGTCTGAAAGATGTTCTGATGGACCTGTAAGATGTTCTGATGGACATGTAAGATGTTCTGATGGGTCTGTGCAGTTATGTTTCTCTCCTGCAGGTAATAAACTGATCTTCATCACTGATGATGAAGATCAGGTGTGTGCTTGAGCAGATCTCAGTACCTGGCTTCTCGTCTTCGCTGTCGTCTCTCTGCTGCTTGTCTTCTTCCTGTTGCTGCTCCTCTCCATCACTTCCAGCGGCAGCTTTCTTCTGTCTTCCTCTCTCCTCCTCCTCCTCCTCACTGTCAGACTGCATCACACCCTTCCACTTGCCTCCTCCTCCTTGCTCCTCCTGTTTCTCCTCCTGGTCAGAGTCTATCTGTGCTGCCCTGCGTCTGGCTGGTGTTCCTGTGTCAGAGTCACTTTCAGAGTGGTGGTCTGGGGACGCTGCAGGCTTGGGTTTCTCATTCTCAGATTCGGAGTCAGAGTGGCGGTCTGGGGACGCAACAGGTTTTGGTTTCTCGTTATCAGAGTCGCTGTCCGAGTGGCGGTCTGGGGACGCAACAGGTTTTGGTTTCTCGTTATCAGAGTCGCTGTCTGAGTGGTGGTCTGGGGACACTGCAGGTTTTGGTTTCTCGTTATCAGAGTCGCTGTCTGAGTGGTGGTCTGGGGACACTGCAGGTTTTGGTTTCTCGTTATCAGAGTCACTGTCCGAGTGGCGGTCTGGGGATTCTGCAGGTTTTGGTTTCTCATTCTCAGAGTCGGAGTCAGAATGGCGATCTGAGGATGCTGCAGGTTTTGGTTCCTCATTATCGGAGTCGCTGTCTGAGTGGTGGTCTGGGGACACTGCAGGTTTGGGTTCCTCGTTATCGGAGTCGCTGTCTGAGTGGTGGTCTGGGGACACTGCAGGTTTGGGTTTCTCATTCTCAGAGTCGGAGTCAGAGTGGCGATCTGAGGATGCTGCAGGTTTTGGTTCCTCGTTATCGGAGTCGCTGTCTGAGTGGTGGTCTGGGGACACTGCAGGTTTGGGTTTGTCGTTCTCAGATTCGGAGTCAGAATGGCGATCTG